GGGTACGCCTCAAAACGTGATACTCTGGTAAATTGGCTGGTTTTGTCTTATTCTGCCTTTGTTGATCTTTGAAACCACCAAAAGGCAGTAGATGCCAAAACAAGACCCATTTGGGTTTTCTTAAGTTTATGTCTGTTCTCCATCCTGGATGTTTTTCTAGCTCCGAATTTGAAACATGCCCCTCAGACATCGCAAACACCAACGACGGTGTTTTCTATCCTCAGATCACTGACGACGAGAAGCTTGAAATTCGCAAGTGGGTTTGGCAGAGGCTCGCTGTGATCCGAGACGCAGGAATGTGGTGGTTGAACCTTGCGGGACGCAAACGGGGGGGAAGCCTTGGACAGAGCCCACCACGCAAGGCTTTGCGGCTGCGTTTTGAGACATATTGCAGGTATATTTTCAGAAGAACATTTCTGTGATACCTGAAAAAATGTCCGAGTATCCTGATAAAGTCGTACTGGGGATGGCAAGCTTTGGCACGGAGGTGAGCTTACTTTGGTATCAAACAAGGGGCCGGAACACGCAGCAAACAGGAAACCGTAGGCATTTTTTTGGGTTCCAATTCCCATGTTGAGACACGTCCACATGAATCTTAACGCGCATTATGCAAAACCCCTGGATGATTAAGGAAAATATTTTGATGATTTTGATAGGGAGGTGGGTGTCCCTTTTGATTATTGAGGAGAAACATAACGAGGCCCGATTACAGTGTGTTTATTAATTCGGGGCTCTCATCATATATGTGTCAAGTAGGGGGACCACATAAATCATGCTCGTCCTTTTCATTCTCTTCAAGCCAACCATGCAGGGGCACCCTTTTTTCGTGAAATTCGGTTAAAACTTACATGTTTGCGTAGAAAGGAATATGGTAAAACGGGTGAGTCGCTGGCTGTTGTGGAAAAGTGTTTGAGTTCCGCCATGTTCCTCCCAAAGGGACCGTCAGCTACTGGAAATTGTGACCAAGCCTCACATGTGCCACAGTGCTTGGGCTTATTACTCCACCAATAGGTACAGTTGGCACACGGGGGTTGCCAATACACGGAGTCCTGCACTTTCGGGCAGAAACATTCTCGACACCGCCAGGTTTGATTCGGTGTTTCGCTCGCTTTCTTGGAACCTTTGCGTGCAATGGTTCTCCAAATGTCCTATTGAACGGCTCATCATGTTTGGTACATGAGAAGTACCAGCCGATTGCGTGGGGATCTAGGCAGGCATGAAGGTTAGTCCCAGGCTTGGTTCGCAATGAACATCACATCGGGCTTTCGACAATGACCTGCCCCTAAAAAGGGAACCAAAGAAAGCATGACTGTTATCTACCCAGGAGTTGTGTTTTGAAGGCTCATTGGGAACCGTACCTTGGGAAACCAAACCAAGTCCCCGACGTTTGGTGGCTCAGAGGTGGCAACTTCACTGGCTTCCTCCAGTGAGGAGGAGTGGATTTACCAATCTGCATGGGTACTAGAACAAGAACTCACAAGCAGCATCCAAGCCGAGTTGTATACCTAGGTGCCTCTTGAACAAAATAACTCACAACCCTTTAAAACCACTAGGAAAATGAGGGGCGATTCTCGAGGGCTGGCTTTTTTTTCTGCTGATAGGGCTTCTCGAGAAAGCTTCTCGCAGGATTACTATCCTTGCAGGCCCAACAGACATTAGTGTGTGAGATTTGTTGGGGGGTGACGTGTTGACCTTCGGACTTAGGCCTGCAAAGGAAAACGATACACACAGATGATATTTTCCACTCTTTTCCAAAACATAGGGAACAGCAGTCCAGCCGCCCCTCAAAAGGATTGGGTTGGGTTGGGGGGGGGGTTAGAGAAAACCGCGCTTGCCACAAGTATTTTGGTTTTAGTGCTTTTGGGACCTTGACTTGAAAAACAAAGGAGAAAGCATCCAATTTCGATAATGGGCAAAACATGGTGTCTTTCTTACATGCCCGCCTCGACAGTTGGTTCAAACATGGTTGCTTTTCACTACCCTGCGGCGGGGTTCTCAATCGGAGGCATTGGAGGTCCTGATCGTATGCCAGAGTGAGTTGGTAGATGGCAACCCCGGTAGATGTGGGTAAGTAATTTGACCCCAGATTAATAAACCGGCTTTGATGATGGGGGGGGGTTCCGCTCTAAAAGCGGTCTGAACCCTCACTAAAGGGGGACATCCCCGATCAAAATCAACTAGGGAGTTTATTAGTCCGGGGTTCCAATTAAAGGGGACGAAACCACTGAATTGAACACCCATGGGCCGTGGGTTCTAAGAGCTTCACAAAAAATAAGCTTTCCCAGCTTCCCTTTAAAGCCACCCCCCCCCCCTCCCCCCCCCCGAGCATGAGAAATGCGGGTGTGTCTTTTTTGGATCTGATTTTTGAGGGTACCCTGTTCAAGGTTGGTTCAAAGGGAGACCAGAAAGACGACCACCTCTTGTTTGGGGGGTCCCCTATTTGGAGACAGCCCACGCGTCTTCCTCGCCGCCAGTTTGCTGGAATTTGCCCAGCTGAAGCTGATGCTGGGCCCACGGATTTGCTTCTTGAGATGTCGTACTGTGGTTTGACCCAGGCCATCTTAAACAAAGCAGAAATGGAAAGCAAAAACGGCTGCTTTGCTGTTTCTTGCGTATTTGTGGGGTTTGTTTTGGTGTGTTTTGTTGTTCCTGTGCATTGTAAGCGGGCTGAGCTCCCTGCCATTGTAAGCTTGTGTATATATATATATTATATATATATATATATATATATATGTGTGTAGATGTTTGGGATTTAGACGTTCAAGGTTTTCAGACATTTCTCAGGAAAATATTGGTGGGTTGGTGGTTTTGGGATTTGAACCCGTGGCCTTTGTAGAGGGTAAATGGGAAACCACCTCCTAGCCTCCAAACCACCGATCCAAAGCACCAATTTGAGGGAAGCTGAACTCTTGCAGGGTTTAGAAGGTATTGAGACATATGCGACTAACAGTGGAACATCGTGCAGGGATCGAGGAACCACGTGCCACCTGGTCCATCAGACGTGAAAAAGAGATGAGGGTTGGGACTATTGTGGCAGCCTTGGCGCTTTTTACTTTCGGGGTCTTGTTCGAGCCCAATTCTGCCCAACCCTCTTTTTGGTGTTTTTTTTGGTCGACCCCCCAGCACGATGATGTTCATTGTGGTTCCTTTTAAAACAACCCAAAACGGGGTCCCCTAAAACACGAGGGTACCTTCTGGGAGGTTTTGCTTTTTCAAGGCAATTGTTTCCAATGATACGTGCATGTCACTTTGGTTCTACATTATTTGGCTATCAAAGCTGGTTTGAATCATTTGGCAACTCTGCTTGAACAATACTACATCCACTTTGGTGTCGATCTTCGGATTACTCTGCCTCAACACTGCAGAGCCTTTCCACTTAGTAGACCGCTCCTTTCAGTTGGAGTACCGCAATTCAGGAGGATGTTTCATGTTTGGAATGAACATTTGAGAAGGACGGGGTTCTAGTAATTCTAGCTTCAATTTGAGTTTGAACACGTTTTCCTTGCTCAATAGATTTCAATTAGGTCTTAATGAGAAATCTTATTTCGAACTGGATTTTAAAGGTGACTTTCTTCGCAGGAGGATCTTTTGATTGTAAGGAAACAATTCTAGCAACATTGAGTTTCAAATAGATTTTATATAGGATTTCAGTTAGGTTTTGATTGGACATCTTGTTTCAAATTAGAGTTCAAAACAATTTCCTTTCTCGCGAGGCTTTGTGAGTCTTTTGATCATACTCTAAATACGAATATCAAGGACATAATTCTAGTCAAAGTTCTAGTTTCAATCAAACTTTCAGAATGATTTTCTTTTCAATCAGGGTTTCAATTATATTTTCTTTGGAGTTCTTATTTCAAATTAGAGGATTTGTTCAATGTTCTAATTAGAACTGACACAGAATCAAATAAGGACACAGCTAGCAGAATCTCTAGCTTCAATCCTAGAGCTGCGCCATCACCAGCTGCGCTGGTTGGCTGCCCAACCCTCCCACTCACCCACCCCTCATCGCCCGCCCACCCTCCCCACCATTCCCACCATTCCCACCATTCCCACCATTCCCACCATTCCCACCATTCCCACCATTCCCACCATTCCCACCATTCCCACCATTCCCACCATTCCCACCCACCAACCCACCCGCCCGTCCAACCTAGCTTGCGTGCGTGCACGAGCGCGAGCTTGCGTGCGGCGCGCACCCAAAGCCAATCAGACGAAGACTGAATCCTCGGCATCCACTCTCAGCCCCGCAAAAACCCGCGGTACTTGCGGTGTTTTACACGTAGTGGCGCCTCCACTTTCGCAGAAACACTGTCACTATTTTCTTAGGGGGCTATTTTTGGAGATGTCGGGGATGCAAGGGATACAAGGGGTGCTTGAAAGCCCGGATGCTGGTGATGCAGGAATGCTGGCGATTTGCCGGTTTTTTCAGTGTTTGTTGAAGGTTGGGCAACGTGGCATCAGGGGCCGGTCGCAAGGCGGGTGCAAACCTGCGTGCGGGTGATGCAGGGGATGCTGAGGAGGAGCTTCTGGTGCAACAAAACACGTCAGCGGTATACCCTCGCTCTTCGAGCTCACAGACACCCAGCGCAGCTGGATTACAGCTGGATTGTAATTTAAATCGGTTCCTTTTTTGAGGAGGGTGTATATCAGAATCATAGTTTAAACAGAATTGCTCATTTCCCGTTATGCTTTCCTTTCCCAAGAGATTTTGCTCAATCTGTTCATTACGACTTGTATAGAAGAGCCTGCATGAGCAAGCGTTTTGTGTTTTTGAGACAGTCTCGCTCTTTGTGGACAGTCTTGCATTTTGCGAGGCTGACCCGGAAAAAGCGCAGAACTATCCAAATCAAGCCCAGAGCGCGAAAAGAACCCTCTCCCTCCAATTTGTTTAGACCCCATCCTAAGGGGAAATCGTGACCCTGGCGTGGCTCTTGCAGAGTTAGCCATCTTGGAGAATTTGCGTTTGCAGGCCTGCACTGAGCGGTCTGCTGCGCGTATCAACAGGGTGTCTGCAGTGTTGTTTCTGCTATTGAGCTTCCTTCAGCTTTAAGCAAGGAATTTGGAGTGTGTTTCCTCTAGTACATTTCTGCTTTGCGCAGCGCACAGAGTACTAGGCCTTTGCCGGATGATGCAGAGCAAGTTTTTGCAGCTTCTTGTTTGATGCTGTTTCAGGTGCAAAACTGAGGACGCAGGCCGGAGGTCTTCTAACTCACGCACACACGCGCACACCTTTCCTGGCAACCTGACACAGTTGGTTGATGCATTTGGTGCCAGCTTTGCCAGCTTTGCCACCTGTTTACTCACTCATGGAAGCTGACTGCATAGTACTTGAGCGGGTAAGCGAGGCATGCACGGGCAGTCTTGTAGCAGACACGCGCAAACCACGAGCGAGGCTGGCCTGGGTGTCCAAGAAGCACCCCAAGTACTACAAAAAGTCGGAGACCATGGCAGACATCTTGGAGTTGAGGCCTCAGTCCTCAAGTGAGCCCCTTGTTTCCTGCAAGAAAGACAGCAAACCACAGCATTTGCATGGGGTTTGAGTGGGAAGGTGAAATGGTTTGCAGCCGAAGTGAACATGGGTGTTGGCGGGTGAGCTGTTTAGCCTCAGTTTCTGAGACGCTGAACATTCGCCTCCCCATTGGTTGACCCATGTCCCTTTCTTAGGGCTCACCCCTTTGGTTGACTTGTTTCTTTAGCAGTCTGGATGGACGAGTTGTTACTTTCACACCTGGGCTAGATGAAACTCACCATAGTCAGCTGAACTCCGTAGAACTAGGGCAGGGTCCCTGAAAGGGTGCATGTGACACAGTGATTCCACTTCATCGCGCAAAGTTGACCTCGGCTTAGCTTGGCGGAGGACCGGAAATAACCAGGGGTGGCTCCGGTTTTAGTAGGGAAATGCTCTACTTCCGGGGGGGGGGTCCCTGACTAGAGGGCTAACATCACATTAGTAGCCAAGGGAAGCGAAACTCAACGGAGCTGGCAAAGGGTTACCTACTATGGGGCGAAATGCCTGGGATCCACTGGCTGAGCAAGGTAGAAATTCGTGTTGCTAATTGATTTAAAGGATTTCCCCTGTAAAAGAGGCGGTTTTGGGATGCATCACTTTGAGGACCTCAAGGATGATCCCCCATTGTTTCCACTAGGTGCATTTGTTGGTATCATCTTACAGGTAATGATAAACAAGGGACATCTTTAACTCCTGCGCTGAACGTTGGCCAAGTCCTCTCGCCGTTCTTTTCAGCAGCCAGCCTTTTCCCATTGTTTTCTAGAACATATCCCCAGAACAGAATGGCAAGGTACACCGAGAAAGCGGTTCCTGGCCATGTCGAAACAAGAGGCTCCAACACACAGCCCAGTGGATTTCCCTTGCAACGATTTATTTGGGAGGGGCGACAGCCCTTTAACCCATTCCTTTTTGGGAAGCAGTGTTGGTGACAAACAAACAGTTTTACACTGTTTTGCCCCATCCTCTCAGAAAGTGGGTAAAACCAAGTGCCACCATAATTGTCATTTTTTGTTGCACCGCTGCAGGGTGAAACGGTGCCCCAACTCTGTCTTAGATGTTCGGTCTTGCGGGCTTAACAGACCTCAAACCAGTTGCCAAATGGGTGTGTCCCCAAATAACCTGCACGTCAACATGCGGTGGATTCGTTTTGGGTGGCTTTCCTGTATGTGTTAACCAGACCTTAGGTGGGGTTCAGCGAGTGTGTGGCAACATTGGCCTCAAGCGCTTGGCACAGGTGGATTCTCCTGACTTTTCCCAGCTGCACAGTGGCGCCATATTTTCGCCCCTTTTGGGAAGGGCGTCGCTTACAGGGTGCCCCTTTGTCTCGTGATGACTGGAGGTGTGGAACACCCCGTCCGCAGGGAGAAGAGAATCCCGTCCCTAATGTTGACCCCAAATGAATACACCCGTCCTATTTTTAGGGGGGGGGTCCCCTTCAAAAGTGGTCTGAATCCCGACGAAACCCAAGAACATCCCACTTTAATCAGCTGGGGTTGATAAATCTGGGGTTCCCATTAGTCAGGATAGCACCCCCTCCCCACCCACCCCCTCCCCGCCCCAAATCCGAGCTCAGGAAGTCCTTCGATGAGTTTCTGCTGGATCTCGCGCACAAGGAGCCCGAGGAGTCTCAGGCGAATTCGGCGCGATTCGAGAACTTGCGTCCGTAAACCTGGGGTCATGATTTTGACGGTTTCTGGGAGTTATCAAAGTCAGGAAATGGGGTTGTTTCCCTTTAGCCCACCACTTAGGGGCTGACTTTGGTCATGTTAAAATAAATAAGGCCAGGAAAGCAGGGTGCCGGCAGTGTGAAATGGCCGCAAGCCGCTCATTTTTTCGCAGGGGCCATCTCTCCACACCGGCCCTGGGCTCTAACTGGGCGCAAGTGGGGCGATGGGGCTTGTGCTTCACAAGCCTGCCCTAGCCCCGAACAGAGCCTAGCTGTCCCCAGGCCTTTCTAATCCCAAACGAAAACCCCGTCTCTGCCCGCTTTTTACGGGCTCCCCCTTTTTCCTCCCGGCCCAAAAGTGATACCCAAAAGGGAGATACTGTATGGGTGTGTTTTGGTTTGAGGGAAACCCTCTTTTGGTTTGTTCTAAAGGGAAACCAAAGAAGGAACACAATTTTTGGGGCTCGGGCTGCGACTCTGACTTTGTCTCTTAGTTTCCGCTATGTATAATACGTGGTTTTCCAAAAGGAACTCGGGTGAAGAAGAAGGGTGTGCACTGTAATCGGAACCCTTGCAAGGACTCAAAGGAAACCTACCATTTCGAGACAACCCCAAATTGCTCTCTACATGGGTATATCTTTTTGGCAGTGAAGAGGGGATGCTCTTGGACCCTTTTGCGTCGCTAACATGGGAAACTAGATTTGGGGTCATCATTCTGACTGTAGAGTCAGCACATGTTGGGTTGTTTCCTCCCAGCCCCCTAGAGTTGGGGATGGGACCAATAGAAAGCACTGTGGTCCAGAATTGGAGCCTGTTCTTCACTCGCATCTTTTGTCAGCGGACAATTTGACCGGGGTGTCAGTTTCGGTTTTCAGTTTTCGGTTCTCTTAACCTGACTGCAGTTGTTGGAGATATGGGTTTGTCTCAAAATGAGTTAACCCTCTAAATGGTAGGTTTCCTTGTGTTGTCCCTCCTGCACCAACCAAAGGGGGTTCCGCAAAAAAGACGCACAGCCATATTATCCTTCTTGTTCAAAGCCGTACGGTTTCCCCTGTCATGGTTTAGGTCCCGAATATGTTTAATCAATGATTCCCAGGTGTTCTTGAAGACAACACAAAACACAGTTGTCTCAAACAGCAGTTGACTTATGTTTCGACAGCGGGGCCCCTGTTTGGTTCCAGGGAAGTAGCAAGGGACTCCAACAGAAACGCGGCTTTGAGTTAGACTCTCCGGACTTCTCCCAACACAATTCAATCATATGTATCCTTGTTGAGAGACCTTCTTTGGGGTTTGTCAATGTGTAAGAGGCCAGCTTTGATCGTGGCTCAGTTGTAGCTGCAGACATTGTAAGGGACCCTACCAACCACCCACCCCAGAGACTTCGACCTTTGCCCACTTGCAAGTGCATCGACCTGCTCGTGTTTGATTTGTTGGTGGTCTGCTTGCACCGAAAGGCCATCCTTGTGTTTCCAAGTTCTTGGCAGTCCTCGAAAAAGGTCGGCCGAGCTCTTCTGAGGTTTCGGAACACTCAGGAAACGCTACTTAATGCCCCACAAAACCCAGCGGTCTTGAGGCAACTTGCATTTTCTCAAATGCCCAAAGCGAACTTTTGACTTTGGTTTCCTTGATTTGGTCCACTAGTCAAGGTTCCAAAAGGTGATCAACCTTGTATTTCTACGTCTGTTGGGCAAGCAAGATTTTGTCACAGACAGTGAGAAGCTTGATTTGTGGGACCCAGCATGAAAAGACATGTAGTCACACTTGGCAGACGGGAGCTCGGTCATGAAGCGCAGAGGGGCTGTGCTTTGGGCACATTCCGCCCCTTTAGTTTGGGCAAATGAAAGCCATCGAGCCTCGAACTATTTTAGTTTGCTACAGCAACTGAGAAGCCTTCCACTTTCGGGGGTTGCTTATTTCAGGCTGGTACATTAATTCACCAGATGTAGCGGATATGGATCTCCCAGAGCATTGGCATGTGAGTGGGGGTTCTTTCCCGGTCAGGGCGCTTGTGTGGGAGGGCGCCCAGAAGCAGGTTTTGTTTCATTTGTTTGTTTTTCCGCCGGGTCATATTGAAACGAGGTTGGTTGGGGTAAAAGGAACGTGAAGGCGTGAAGGGGATTCCCTTTCTCGGAAAATCTCCTTTCGTGCTTTTTTGTGTGACTTTCGAAACTGTGCATCTAGAAACAAATCTCAGACCTCCGGGATTTTCCCTTTTTCTGCTTGTCTGGGGTGTCCTTCAAAATCAACCAAAAGGAGATGGCCTCTTTCCCTTGCCACTCAAGGTTTGGGAACAACTCCCAAATTCATGTGAGGTTCAGGGCTGGTTTGGCAACTTTGGAATGAACACCTGTGGCAACGGCCCCGCGAACATGTTGTATGCTGAATCCACGTGTGGATTCTACCACTCTGTCCTAGCTGGGTCATCCAGAGCCCTAGATTTAAGCCACCTGTTCAGAGTTTAAGCCAATTTGTTTAGGTGCCCGTCAAAAGCAAAGCCTCGACCCCGGGGCCCGAAAGGAGCAGACTCTTCCCGACCAGCTCGAAAAGTAGCGTCGGCGCTTCCTGGGTACTTTTCTTGCCCGTTCGACACCACTTTTTCCAGACCCCCTGCTGTGGATGGACAAAATCCACGCCACGCACCAGTTGGAATGATGAAGTTCAGGATGAAACAACATATCAGTATATATCAGTACTGCTTAATAAGCCGCACATCCCAACTGGTGCCGATCGGCGTGGATTTTTTTGTCGGAACCAAGCGTCGACGGCTCGTTGGTTCGAGCCGTTCACCGGCGCAGATGGTGGATGGCGAACAACACCACAACACCGAGGAGACAGAGTGTTGCGCCCAAAAATGGTGGATTCCCCGCATGTAAAACCTTGGGATAAAAACGCCTTATGGGCTTGTCTGGAGCACTGGGAAATGCGAGTGAGCCAACCACATCCAGCTGCAAACGGCAGCAAATTACAGTGAATGTGACCCCTGCCCCTCGGACCCTAAATGTTTTCGGCCCAAAGACCTCGTTTTGGATCCCTCGGGATCCTTCCCTGCTTGCAATGTGGGTTTGTCTCAAGGAGGAATCCCCAAAATGGAAAGGCTTGTCGCTTCAAAAAAGGGCAAGCCCCAGTTCAAGCAACAACATAAAAGACTCCAAGTACTTGCAACATGCAGGGCATGGATCCCAACAAATGGCGAGGGGTTCATTCTTAGCTTGGGTTCTTTTCCAAGTTCAGGAGTACCTGAAATTTGGGGGCATGTTTTGGATGCCTGTGATTCTTGAAAGGAGGGCAGCTCTGAAAGAACTCGACTCAACCGACATAGCAAGCGACAATAAGACCTTTGAATGGGCCATAGTCAGCAGTCCAAAAGACGAAAACATTGGTGGGGAAGCTTGTTGGAGTTGTGGCTGAGGTAAACACAGCCCAGTGTTTGGTGTTAGCAGTTGGCCTCAACTTGCGTCAGATGATGTTGTTTTCCTGGTTGGTTTTGAAAGTTTAGAAGAGCATCGTCATGATCGGGCGATGGTGTCTCGTGCCTCAGCCCAAACGGGTTGTCTTTGGGTTTGCCAGCCCGTGCCCATCTCAAAGCACACGGCCCCTTTAGGTTGGCTTTGGCAGCGAAACCAAAAGGACACCTAACGTTTTACAAGACCGCATTTTCCTGAAAAGCCCCGATTTGCCATGCCCTCCAATGAAGGGCACTTGACGTGTTTTTGCACCGAGGGCACTTAAGGACGTGTCGGTGGCCTAAGTGACCCTTTGATTCGTTTGCTAAGTGCCCTTTTTGGCTTGATAGGGGTTGGCGATAGTGTCGGTCCCCCATGCGTGAGTGTCATTCGCGTGTCGCTGCAGCTCGATTTGCCCAGCGTCAGTCCCCCCCCCGCCCCCCCCGTGTCAGTGTCATTCGCATTCACGGCTCGATTTGCCCGGACTAAAGAGGGATCTGCTGGGGAAGGCAACCCTGAGGGTCTAAGTGCCCCTTAAATGGCTTAAGTGACCTCTTTGACTTAGGACTAAGTGCCCTTATTTCCAAAATGGATCATAGCACCCCAAAAATGAATCGAGGGCACTAAAACGAGGCTGGCCTATTGACCGAATTGAAGATGACATCAGTTCAAATCCTAGATAGGACCTTCTCCCGACCATGGATAGAAGCAGATGTTGTGATTCCTCATGAATGCGGTCTGGAGTACACGTTGCTCATATGTCTTGCTACACTGATACCTTCGCGCGCATTTGCAGGGACCCTTTTTCCCAATGGCTGTACAAAGACAGGGAAGGAAGGGGAAAATGGGCGAACCGACATGGGCCTTTCTTATTGGTTCAAAGGAAAGTCACCATCATTGAGGTGGGGACAAGTGGGCAACAAGGAAAATCCGGTTGGCTAGAATGTTCCTGGGCTTTGCATCCCACGTGGATGGTTCATGTGCCATATTTTGGGAGTCCAGCAAACTTGGGATCTTACTTTGTGTTTGTTGGCCACCTTTCGGCATCCCTGAAGCAAGCGCTGCGGAATCTGAAGGTCCCTAAAGACACCCGATGTAAAGGGAATCAATTGATCTCCGGCTCAGGAGCTCCTCCAATTCTCCGTGATGAAGTTCGAAGAGCTTTTCCCGGATGATGAGGAGAGCAAAGAACCGGAGTTCGTTCGGCAGTGAAAGACTGAAGGGAGACCAGAAGCTCTCCCTATTTCTGGGGGTGGGGTCCTATCCCTATTTCTGGGGGTTCTATCCCTATTTCTGGGGATCCCTTTTTTGGAGGGTTTTATTGCAGGACCCGTTCATGACTTTAGTGGACATTTGGGATAGCTGCCATTGGTTTTGAAGGGTTTTGGATCGCCTTGTCAAAGGAACACATTGGGCAATTTCAACCTGTGAAACAGGCAACATTTGACAAACTTGTCCAACTGCCTGCAATCTTTGGTGGCATCTTACTCTAAATATCCTTGCCCTTGACCAAAGTGATGAGCGAAGACGAAGACGGAACTAAAATCGAAGGTTTAGGGTTGACCAATAGTTTGTCACGATGTGCCTGCACAATGTGTTGAACCCGTTTGCGACTTAAGCTCGAACCCTCTTATGTTACAGCTCTATCTCACAACTCGCGGATTTTGTGGGCGTGTCTTTTGTTGCGGGGCGAAACTCACTTGCAATCACTGTTTAACCGGAAGCTGAAAGGACCAGCCATTGTGGAGGGTTCGTATTGGGCATGTGTCAAAATAAGGGGGGGCGGAAAATGGCCTTCTTCCTTTTGGTTTCCCGCTAGAACCGTCCCAAGAAGGGTGCCCTCGGAACGCACATGCCCATCTCTGGGACCATACAAAGCCTTTGAGTCCGTTGAGTACCCCATGGACCGAACTGCTTTGTTTTCTGCGCGAGAAACCCTGAGATTGCCCTGCAAGATTAGCTAGGTTTTGGTCTACCAGAAGTCTCCTTCCGAGCTTTTGAACATGGAGTGCCAGGGGAAGGAGACTCCGGGTAGCTTGGGCCGCGGAATTCGGGGCCTTTTCCTTCAAGTGCAAAGGGATGAGCCTGACAGCCCTCGAGCTCCTTTCCGATTCCGGGCCTCAGGGCCATGAAGTTGGCTTTTCGAATTGTTTTGGGGCACGAGGGTTCCTTCTCTCAGCTTTGGGGGTGGCTTGTGGGATCCCTGAAGCGTCTTGGTATCCACATCTGTGATAGACCTTGTGAAAAGCCTCTCCTTTGCCAGGAGCCATGGTGGGATGAGTCAGACAAGCCGGACAAGACTGAGCGCAAGGCCTGGTGAATCGATTTGCAGCTGAGGGGTTGACAGAAGCCGCGGTTGGAACATGTGGTCTCGGGGGTCTACTACCTGGCTGAATATGGGATACAAAGTTCCACGTTGTGCTCATCTTAGCCGTCCCTAAGTACAAATCCCGGTCCGAAAAGGCACTCAGAAGGTAAACAACACCCGTGGTCTCTGGCTGCGGCGCGGCCACTGGCGGGAGCCTCAAGCTTCGGGCTGTCGCAGCTGTCCTGGCCGCCACTGGTGGGAGCTTCAAGCCACGGCCGTCCTTCGGCCAGTTGCGGGAGGGCTGTCCTGGCCTGGCCACTACTGGCCGGAGCCTCATGCGTCACAGGATCTGTCACAGCCGTCTGTCTCATCTGCCTGTCACATCTGTCTGTCACAGGCTCTGTCTTGGCTGTGTGACACGAACTCTGTCGCAGCAGCTGTCTGTCGCAGCTCTGTCACATCTGTCTGTCACAGGCTTTGTCGGCAGGGGGGTCGCCGGCTGTGGAAGTTGGATGCCTTCAACCTAACCCCCAAACCTGGTGGGCAAAAGCACAACAAGCAACGAAACACAAAATCAATTCTTTGCAACGAGAAATCAACAACCTCCCCCAAACAACAGCAGCACTAGAAACTCCCCCCAAGGACCCTGTAGGAGCATGTCAGGTGATGTTCGACCACGGCATCTTCTTTGAGGACTGTCTTGGCCTCAGCTGTCGGATTGGTTCAGCCCCTGCATATGGAATCCTGTTGCCCTCTGAAGCTGGGGTCTCCTCATTCTTGAAGACTCGGATAAATAATGTTGAATTTTTCATGGATTTAGAAAGCGGTACATGCGATGTTGGCTTCACTACGTTTGCACTTTGTACTCTTGAGCGCTTTGGGGTCCAAAAGTTTGTGTCACTGCCTGGAGTATTTGGCCAAAAATGTCTCAACTTTTTTGTTTGCGGCTAAAATGGTCTTCCCCCTCCAAAAACAGTGCAGCAGGAGCTCAGGAAGTGAGTCAAGTTGACAAAAGATTAATCAAACCTAATTGCCTAATTTATTAGGGGGTGTCCCTGGGTTTAGTATGGAATCATCACTGGTGGGGAACACCCCCTATTCACAGCACAGGTTTATTCATCCGGGGAAGGGAGTGCTTCTGTTGGTCCCCACAACCGGTATGACGTTCTGTCTTGTGAATTTCCACACAAACCATAGGATTCTCTAGCAAGTGAGGGAAGATCAATTTTGTTTGTCCCCTTTGCCTTTTGCATTAGCCTATCTCTGAACATGTTTTACAAGAACGTTTGCCGTACCCTTTTGTATTCCCACTCGCAGAACAGGCTCGACGTTTGGACCAAACCCAGTGATTCGATTGACAGGCCTTCATCCTAAAGAGAACCAACAAGGACACCAAAACCATGAACATGCTGGCTTCCACATGAGAGTCTGGCCCACAAAATAGCCTCTTTTGGGATGTTTTTTCAAGCGACACGCCTGCCGCCTGCCCAACTTTGAGCACCCGGGTTCAGGGCGCATTGTGTCGGAGGAGTCACCAACTGGTTTGCTGGTTGCCTGGGCCTGGTTTCCTTTCGTGGGGTCATGTTAGTTTGGGAGAGTGCCATTTTCAGGTGCGTCCCTGGGAATATGTGTTTCCCCCTGACCAGCCCTCGCCACATTTTTTGTGAAGTTTGCTCACAAGGAACGAGCATACCTGTAGACAGGAGCTCACCTGAGTTTTCGGGAGAGAAAGCGAACCTTACTTTCAAATTGTTTTTATTTGGTTTTCATTTGTTGTTTCTCACCTTTGATTTTGTGTTTGTTTGGTTTTTGTTTTTTCTGTTTGTTGTTTTTTCATTTTCCCTTCCCCCTCCACCTTTTGGGTCTCCGGGCACCTTCGCTCGCTCCCAGCCGGCGTGAAGAACGGGCGCTTCCACAAGCGGCGGGAGCCTGGCCCTTGGCAAAAGGCCCTCGGCCACGTTGCGGTTTTTGTGATTGTTAAAAGAGAGTTCAAGGAAACAACACACTCATGTAAACCATCATGGATAATTAGTTTCTGTTTGTAAAGTTGTGTTCTTGGTTGCGACGACATTTGTGGGCTTGCTTACAAGTGCTTGAGCACCAGCTCCGATAATGATGCTCTCCATGCAGCGCTGGAACAGAGCTAGAATGGCGAGCTTGCAGCGCATGTCGCTACGCACATCGGAAATCATGAACGCCCACGATCTCTACCGGCTTTGGGAAGAACCCCAGCGGACGCCAGTTCCCACGGGGCGATAGGGTATGTGTTGTGGCTCCCCAGGCGCCGTATGCCTTGGTGTTTGACTTGCAGCAGGAATGCCTTTTTCTGAGTGACATGTGCCTCGCTGGCTGGGAGGCAGACAACAACACTTTCTGCGCACAACCGAACCCCTTCATTCCCAAACTGGGCATTTATGCTAAGGCAAGAAGAAACCCGTGATTGGTGGCGGGGGAAGGGCGCTCCGTTTTAAAGGGGATCCCTCACTTTGGGGGGGAACAGGGCGACACGTCCCAAGATTTGTTTGGGAAGCAACGAGCTCACCGAATAATCCACGTTAAACGAAGTCCACGAGAAAGGTCTGTGGGGGCGTTCCCTTTTGGGTTTAGCAGTTATATATGACTCCCCGACTTCCAGTGGGGGGTTTTCCTTTTGGCTGGTTTTGGCTGGGCATTCCTTTAAAATTATCCAACCATAAGATATCTCTAATATATATACATATGATATGTATATTATATCTGTATACATGTATGGTGCGCAACATATTGTTCACCTAACCATTTGTATTTGGCTTCCTTTTCCATCGTGGCTACATAGTTCAGCTGTTGAGGCGGTCGGCAGTTTGGTGAGCGAGAGACAAGACCCTTCTACCGCCCAGGCTTTGAGAACTCTGACAGCCTCTTCTAAGCTGAATCTTTTGGTGGCTGGAGGGGGCCTTTAGTTTCCTCCCTATGACACAACACCGGAAAACAACAAGGTTTGGGGGGCAGCTGAGGTACCAGACGTGTTGCGCCAAACACTCGCCCAGGGAGAACGACCTCATCCCAGAGCACGGATACTGCTCGTGCACGCCTCAGATGTGAGAAAAGCTTCCGGAACTCAGGTTTGCTTGGTGTTGTTTTCATGCTGAATCTACGGGGATTTGTAGTGAGCTCGATGTTTGCCTTTAGAACTTTGTTGATAGAATCGGCACAACATGTTTGTCGGTTATTCACCGATCCTCTCACAGGGTAGCGACCTCACAACAAAGGAGTGCGACTGTTCCTTGGTGAGGATTCCTGCCGTATCTCTCCAGAGGGGTGTTGTTTTCTCAAAGTTGGGGTTTCCTAAAATGGTTGGTTTGCTTTTGATCTTCTGTTTAAATGCCAACCAACACCCCTTCAGGACTCCCCGATGGGCTCGTTGCGTTTCACCCGAGGTCAACCTGCTTCACTCGCTTTCCCAACGACACGCTGGGCGCCTGGAAAGCCATGGATCACCTGCTGTCATGGGGAACCCCCCTTTTGGTGTACCACCTTTGTTGGCCTGGCATTAAGGAAAGCTTCCAACTGACCTCTCCTCCAAAACATATGTCCTCGTTTGTTGAGGGTAGGCTTAATATGGGTATCTTTTATTGAGGGTACCCCCTTTTTGATTGGTTGGTTGGTTGCCGAAATCCAAGTTTGGGGTCCCCTAAAAAGACAACCCCTATAGTTTTGAATGGTGGTATCCCCTTTCTACAGTAGTGGATCTAGCTCAGCAACCCGTTTAGTAGGGTGTTTTCTAACCATCGTGTTGAATACCTAACCAGAGGTCACTACCCGGGATGGGCAAGCATTCGGCACAAGTTTCAGCACCCCAATTGAGGGCGCGTGAAATCTCAAGTCTTCGTCTTGGCACTTAGCCACATCCCAGACTTTGGAATGTTGGGAGTTTAGAGGGATTGGTGTACATCCCACTAAAAGCTTGACTTTTAGCCACGGATCAACAAGCCACTAAGCCGTGCAGTGTGGGCTTCCAGGGTTGCCTTCTTACGAGTGCCATATTGGAAAGTTGGTTTCTCAAAAGCAGCCATGGAATCCTCATTTCCCACAATCGATCTTACTTTCGTGCCTCGTGTTTGAGAAGGAAGGCCGCCCATCGATAGGAAAATGACAAGCACCAGCTGTAGGTTTATGGCACGCACAAACAGAAGCAGAAACACAAACACAAACACAAACACAAGCACAAGCACACACCCACAAAACACACATACACGCACAAACGGATATACACACAGACACACACAGACACACACACAGACACACACACAGACAGACAGACACACACACAGACAGACAGACACACAGACACATAGACACACAGACACACAGACACACACCCACACACCCACACCCACACCCATACCCACACCCACACCCACACACACCCACGCACGCACGCACACGCACGCACGTACGCACGCACGCACGCACGCACCCACACACACACACTCACACTCACACTCACTCTCTGACTCTCTCACTCTCTCACTCTCTCACTCTCTCACTCTCTCACTCTCTCACTCTCTCACTCTCTCACTCTCTCACTCTCTCAC